AAGGTGGCAAATAGTCAATAAAGTGAATTATTAAGTAGCATATAAACTTCGATTTGAAAGACATGCGATGAAGTAACAAATATTCAATATGTTAATTTATTAACTAGCATATAAAATTCACTTATTTTACTCTTATTAAAAGTGAAATCTTCAACTCACTAACTTCTTCATTATTTCTCAAATTTACCTACCTTTGCCATATGAGTAAAGTAAAAAAAATGGGTCCTAACATTCGTTACTTTTTTCCCCTCGTAGACATTCTTCAAAGTTCAACATGTAAATTGAACTCAAAACAAAGCATGTGAAGCTTCAAAATCAACTCTAACTTCACCAACTCTAAATTTTTGTAATCCCACTATCTTTCCCAAGGCAAAGCAGATACATTGGTTGCTCCAATTAATCACTACACACCTAGCCGACCAAGATCCAATCTACTGCCAGCTACTCCAACCGGCATAATCAGACACCAAAAGCAGAAAACTAGAACTCACCAAGGAGATGGTGGTGTACGTTTTGTCACTCATGCAATGGGATTTTGTTGGTCGTGATGTCAAGGCTATTGTAGACTTAGATTTTATCGGAGTTGATTATCTCTCAAGAATTGAAGAATTTGGAGGCTAAGTCTACAAAAGCTTTGATTTACTCAATTCGTAGAATCTTGACGGACGACGAGATGGGTTGGGCCAACGAGCATTGGACGCTATAAACAAAAGGTTCAAATTGTCCAAGAACTTGATCAATAAAATGAAAATCACAATCAAAAATTTTTATTTCTTTTTAAATATTATCTTATACCGTAGAGCTCTCAATATTTGCTTATAAAGTAGATTGCCTCATCAAAAACATGAAAAATTAGAAATTAGTAGAAAAAGTGGATAGAATATGAAAATAATGGAACAATGACACAATTTTACGCCCGTGCACCGGCCCTTATCTTTAAACCCACGCCGGCGGCGCCGTTGCCCTTCCACTTGTAGTTCCACAATCTCTGTCTTATTTTCCAATGTCAAAAGCCTTTTCCATTTTTCTCCTCCACCAATATCCCCACTCTTTCTCCTACTTTTCTTGGGTTACCCACTCAGAAAAAAGTAATTATACTTATATTTTAGGCTTAGTTAAAGTAGTTCGCAGTTCAAATTTAATTTATCTAAAGAAAAACACTAGATCGAGATGCATCACAATTACTGGTTCTCAACTAATAAAACTCTTCAAGACGAGTTAAGATTCATCTACCCTTTTTTTTTTCTTTTAAAAAAGAAAAAAATAAAAAAAATATCTCGAGGTCGCGTAATCTTAATTAGAACTTAACAACCTGGTTTAATTTAGTTATTGTATCGGTTTAATTTAGTTATTGTATCTTAGAATCGAGAATCAAATAGTTTTTATCCAATACACGATTCTAGCTATTGAATCAAATTTTGATTAAGCTCCAATTTTTCTTTTTTCTTTTAATATCAAATAAAATCTTAATTTATATGAATTCAGAAGTATTCAAAAATTGAGAATTTTATTTTTTAAAATGTACAGTATAAAAATGAAATACGAAAATTAAAACTTTAAAATTTATATTTGAAATATAAAATAACTAGATTAGAACCAGTGGTTCTATGAGAAATATAGGGACAAGATTAATTTTTAGTCCAAGCTAACTTTATCAAATTGACCTAAAATTTACTCAAATCTATTACTCTATCATAGTGCCGTTTCTATCATTCTAGAGAAATCGAATTGAAGTTCGAAAACGCCTCTTTTAATTATTGTGAGCTCCTATCTTTTAATTATGGTGAAGTAAAATCAAATTAGATGACCATAACGATACTAAGTATAAAGTTGGGTGACTATAGTGAAATAAAATCAAACTGAGTAGCCCTGGTGACATCAAATATAAAATTGAGTGGCCATTGATGAATTTAACGTTGTTATAAATATTCCAAGAATATGAGATAACTACAAAGTTTTGTTGGATGTCTCATACGAATGGCATTGAGCCCTGAAAGACTTGAAATTCAACACCTAACCAATTTTTTTCATGGATTTTATCAAATATTTCATATTACAAGCCCTTGTTTGAGCGTAGATCCACCAGTTGAAACTTTAGACTCGGGCTCGAATTGAGTAAAAATAATTAGAACTTTTTTTGACCGAATCGAGCTTTTGCTCGGCAATAAAAACTATGCTCAACCCTAGTTTTTAGTTTGGGCCTTATAGAGTCGAGCCGAGCTGGTTCACAATTTCTTTTTAGGAATGCCAGCTGCCTATGTTAGCAAGCTACAAGGCAGCATGTAGCTACCCGTAACATAGGCAGCAGTAGCTGCTTACACATGTAGCCTTTAATTAATTTTTTAAGGCTCGGCTCGTCACCGGTGGAAAACAACCGGTGATACTAGGGCTAGGTGTAGTCCGTTTTGATTCATTTCTAACGAAAATCGAATTGGACCTAAAATTTTCAGATATTTAGTGAGTGTAATCATCGGGCCCAAATTTAATCATGGAACCGTTCAGGTTCGATTTCATTCAATTCAGTTCTCGGGTTCTGTACTATAATTAATTTTTTAATATTTACAAAACTATATTAATTCAATTAATGACATGTTCAATATTTGCTCTTATAAAATAACGTAGTCTAATTTAATGTGTCTTTTGCATCTCTCTTTGCTAAGTTTTTCATAATTTTAATTGTTAAAATCACAGAAAAGGATAACAAGCTCACCATAATTAAGAGAGATGCTGTCGAATTTTAATTCAATTTCTTCGAAATGGTAGAAATGACTACAATAGAATAACAGATTCGAGTAAAATTTAGGATATTTGCTCTTATAAAATAACGTAGTCTAATTTAATGTGTCTTTTGCATCTCTCTTTGCTAAGTTTTTCATAATTTTAATTGTTAAAATCACAGAAAAGGATAACAAGCTCACCATAATTAAGAGAGATGCTGTCGAATTTTAATTCAATTTCTTCGAAATGGTAGAAATGACTACAATAGAATAACAGATTCGAGTAAAATTTAGGTCAATTTGATTAAGTTGAGTTTGGACTGAAAATTAGAAATTAGAAAATCATATTTTTGGATTTGAACTAAATTAACTAGTTAACAAATTTATTTAGAAAAAATAAAATAATTTGATTTATTTAAAATAAATAAATTTAAAAAATTAGAGAGATTCAGTTATTCGATTATTGATCTAGAGTATCGAGAATCGAGAACCGAATTGATTCTCGATTTAGATATTTGTTCGGGTATTTAACTTAAGAAGAATCGCTCGGCTCGATTCAATTAAGGTCCGGTTCGATAGGTTTGGTACGAGAATTATGCTCATCCCTAGGTGACACGAGGCTGCCAAGCCACATGGGTCAGCTCGGACTTGAACCAACGTCCCAAAATGGGGCAGAACCATGGGCCGTCAAAGCCAAATTAACCGTAGTGGAGACCTATTATCTCAAAATACATTTTTCTCAAACACATTTTTAGTCACACATTTTTCAATAAAATAATATACATGTAAAATCAAAATTTTTTCTTACTTTTTAACCACACAATATTTAAAATATCACAATTGCAAAATTCATTATTTGTTAAAAATGGGGTTCGGAGGAATTAATATACATTTTACCGTCCAACACAAAATTTCTAGAAACTTAAAACGTGTGAATGATAAAATTCCATATATTAAATAAACATGAAAATAACAATCAAATATAAGGAATTGGATTACATAAAATGACGGAATCTCGCGACCCGGTGTGATATTAGGTAGAAAAATCTCAAACGAGCTTTTATGAAACGAGATACATATTGGAAGAAAATATTTAAGGGTTGTACTAACTTTCTTAAAAATGTTGAGCTTTTAAGATGAGATTTCAATATGCGTAAGATTAATAATCTTTTTCAAAGACGGCTCAAACATCTTAGTGGCTTTATACAACATCTCTAAGTAATTATAAAAATCTAAACGATGAAGATATCACCGACATAATCAAAGATAGTATCTAACACAACATAGTATTAGCTAGTGATTTGGAATGAACTATCAATAGTAATGTTGTTATGATCACCGACAAAATCATAGACAGTCTTGACCAAAAAAAAAAAGGCGGAATTTGAAAAGGGATTATTAATAGCAATACCATAAGGATAATCAACCGACATCCATCGATGATCACTATCAGCACATAAGCAATTATCGATGATAATGTCGCATGTGATGTCATCAACAATCACTGACAGTGCTTTGATCATTGATCGTTGATGAAGAATCATTTGTTCTTCATTCAGTTTTTTTAATATCTCGTCAATAATTTAAAATTTCTTATTATTTTGTATCTTTATATTTACAAAATTTATTGTATTCTTGACAAAAATATTTATTCTGATATTAAATTTTATATTTTAAATAAATTATGTATCAACAAAAAAGGTAATTAATAATATTTAAAAATAACTAAAAATTACAAACGGTTTTCTAGTTATTGATATTAAAAACATAAATAGTTTAACATATTTAATCTATGAAAGAAAATTTCGTCCATAAATATATAAAAAATAAATACGAGCCGAAAATTCTATTGAGAACCGTAGAAGCTAAAATAATAATAATAACTTGTAAGTCAATAAAATAATGAAGAATCTTAACTTATTTGTCAGTATCTTAAAAAACATGAAAGATATAGAAAGAATAAAATTTTACAAGTGACATGGATGAAGTCGTAGGTGATTTGCTACATCACTAGTGACAATGTCACTTGTTCGTCTCAATCACCAATGTATGTTGATTTCGATCGACCAAAAGAAATCATCGACAACTGATTGAAGCACCGTCAACGATTCTAGACAACATCAATGACAACATTCTTGATTGAAGCATCATTGGTGCTATTGATATCACCAACGATGTTGATTTCAACAAATTAGTACAGTCACTTTATTTTGTGTTTGCTTAAGAGGAACACTCTTTTAGATTTTATAAGGGGTGATCAAGCTTACACATGAGAAATAGAGATAAAGATATACGTATCTATTCGATATATGGAGATGTGATATATTAACAATTGACGTTGATCAAGTAGTAGATTTTTCACATGCATTGTAATACAAGTATAGTTTGTCTAGCATATGGGTCTAATTTTACTTGGACATCTTTTTTTTTCTTTTCTTGAAATCATGATCATATATCAACATTGATCAAAATCATTTGATGGTAATGATTCTGGAAATCCCTCCAACAAGCAGAAAACTGGAGGAATTGTAACTCTCTTGAGATCTCCGTATGCATTCCAACAAAATGGATCCAAAATTTTCTGTCCTAAAGCAGGAAGCAATTCCACTTCTGAAAGAGTGAGATTAGTACATGGAACTGCATCACTACAACCTAAATGTATTGGAGGGCTTCTTACATCATAAGTTCCCTTAATATTCGCGTAAATTATGTCGGAAATGTACACTGCAGATGTTTGATTAGTGCAGCTTTTTGTGTTGCAATAATATTGATCTATGATGATGGGGTTTCGAACGGTGTCCATGTGAATGTTTTTGAAGGTGACTTTAGATACAGCTCCGAATCCACCTTGCCATGTTTTAATTCGGACACCATTATCAGAATGCTTGATAACGGAGTCTGTCACCGTTATGTTTGAAACACATGCTCGTGAATTGCGAATGCCTAGGCTGCCAATGCTACACCAAGAAGAAATGTAACGTTAGACGAAAAATAATATGCACGAATAGGCCTAGTGTTTTGAGTAACACTCGTTGGACGAAAAGGAGTGATACTTGAACTTCAAAGGTAACAAAAATTGTACCTTATCCCATGACTAGGACCACAAGTTATATTCCTTATATCTACATTATAAGAACCGGCTCCAATGGATACACAGTCATCACCTGTGTAAAAGGTATATTATGATTAAAAAAGAACTTGATTGGCATAACAAAAATTAATTGCAAGAATGAATTCTTGTAAAATTCTGGAGGAAATTACCATTGGAAATAATTGAATTATATATTTTTACATCGTTGGTGTTCTCTATGTGAATTCCATCAGTGTTGGGACTTCCAGACGGCGACTTTATGAAGAGCGAATCGACATGCACAGCGTGGCAGCTATCGAACCGGAAATGGAATTGGGGACTGTTCTTAATTTTAAGCCCTTGTACTGTCAAATTGGAGCTCATAAAGAACCTTATAGCCTGTAAAAGTAAAAAAAATTAGTTTTTTTGTTGAAATAATGGCCAAAAGAGTTGTTTATAGTGTGTCAGTTTACTTACAACTGGGCTGTCACAAGGGCCAGGTTGGGTTGTCCCATTTATTCCCTGTTTGGTTGGCACGAAGCTAAGTTAATTAGATGCTCAAAATAAGTTAAAAAGTCGAAAATTTTATTGAAAGATGAAAATTACTTTGTGAGGTTTGCAGGGAAGATTCCACCAGTTTTCTCCTCTCCCATCTATAAGTCCACCACCTTGCATCAACATTCCATTGATTCTGTAGAAAACGAGCCATTGTCGTTTACTGAACGTTCTAGGCCACGAATCAGGTCCATCCGGTGGCATTACACTTCCTTCGATCTTCACACAACGAGAAAAAAAAAATAAAAATCGGAAAATCAATGCTTGTTCAATAGGACCATCTTTAATGAAACTTCAGATTTGACAAGAATATTGTAAAAGATTACCTGAAATATTAATCCATTTTTACATGGACCGGCGAAAATCGTTGATTGTATCATAAATGAGTAATGCCTAGGAACAAGAAAAATAGCAGATTCAATTTGGCAAGCAGCATCCCAAGCCATTTTAAATGCTTGTGTATCATCAATAAAACCATCTCCAACAGCACCATAAGATAATACATTAAAAACTGCTGCAGACTCGGATGAAGTAGCCGGTTCAGGTGCAGGAGAAGGGGGTATCGAAATTTGAGATAATTCACGATGATGCATATATATCGAGTAGTCATAGAGCCTACATTGAGCCGAAAGCACAAAAAGGGATAAAGAAACATGAAAAATCAGGACAAAAAAGCCCAAGATTTCCATAACAAGGCCTAGTTTTTCTCCTCTCCTAAGATTGAGGTTTTTATAGGACAAAACTACGAAGAAAGACGACGAATTTGTCTAGTTTTCCAAGTAGGCAGACGCATGCACTCCTAGAGAATGTCTAAAGACTAGGTTTTGAAGATGAACTGAAGTTAAAATTGCTGATATATTTTGTCAGTATTAGTGGGTAGAACATATAGGCATTGGGAGTGATGGCAGCCACGTTTCTGGAAGCCGAAAAAGCCAGAAAAAATAAGTGCTCATGGCCACTTATATCTATCCAACTTGCTTAGTTCTGTGAACATAACACAAAATGAGATCAAGTGAATGCAACTTTTTATACAAGAAACTCTTAGTGGAGACAGCTTTTCTACCGTCTATTTTGCACCTTACATTATTTTAGTCCCGAGCAAAACCGACCAATTCCATTTGCAGATTGGCTTTTCTGGCAAGTAAGAATGTGGAGTCTGCAAACGTTAGAGTTGCCAAAACACTAATATAGAACGGATTATATTGTTGAATGGATTTAAGAAGAATAGGATAGAAATGGAAAAAATTAAGTGTAGAGAGAGCATCGGAACTCTAGTTTTGGCCAATAATACCATTCCCAAAAGAGAATGCCGAGATGAGTAGAACCCACAGCTTTGCCGTGACATACTATAGATTTTGGCAATTCAAGTTCATTTAGGACTCGAAAACTGCTCTTGAAATTTTAGTGTTATTTTTGTCATTTAGTTTATTTTGAATTCTTTTCAATTTTTGTTTGTGTAAACTAGGTTTTCATAAATGCTTATAAATAAATGGTTAATTCATTATTTTTGATCATCCTACATAAATAAAATTTGGCGCGTCTATTTTCTTAATAATTTGGTAGATTTCAAAAATTGTGTTCTTAAGATTTTAGCTCGAATTTCTTGTTTCACACTGCATCAAAAACAAAACAAGGATTGATGCTTGATATATAATATTAGACGAATATAATGTAGGTAATGCTTTTTTTTTTTTTTTTTTTTTTTAAATTTTTCCCTAATATCCCATCAGCTCTAGTAGAAGAAAAAGATGGAAAATTTGAAATATTTCTTGACTTTGTTCATCTGATTCAATTCAACAAAACAAAACAAATTGAAGTGATACTGATGAAGATAGTATTACTTAGGTTCCTAGCTTGGAATGGATGGCCGAGAGCAAGTGGCAAGTTAGTGATCACGTCTATCTTACATTTGTTTCGTGGATAGATAGTTGACCATGATAACACACATTCAAATTCTTGAGAAGAGAGGAGTCGTGGAAGAACTGTTGGTCCCGAATCATCTAGATCTAGTCAACATGGGAAAATAGTAATAACGGCAAAATCTGCGATACAAATAAATTTTTTCTCTGATGAGTATATTTTTGTTCCTAAATTATGAACCAAGGTAGATTTCTGTTCCAGGTCTAATTACCTCAACCGATTTTGGTATTATACGGTTAGACATCCATTTCAAGGAATTCTAATTTCGGTTTTCAGTTGGCATTGCATAATATTTTAAAAAGTAAAATTAGCAAGTGAGATTTACCTCTACCTTACTATCCCATTTCAGTGACGAAAATAAATGACAAAGTGAAAGTTGAATAATCTTTTGTGATAATTAGTTTAAAATTTAGATGCATAGCAATTAGAGGTAAAAAATGAGTCGAACCCCTTTTCTTGACTCTGAATATTACGAAATTCGACCAATATTAATTGATTTTTTTTTTTTTTAAATGGAAGAAAAAATGGTTGACCCTTGTGAATTGACTCTACACGAGCCACAAATATTTTGTACTTTAATTTTTATTTTCAAATATGCATTTTCTTAATAGTACTTTAGTAATTTATATATAGCTGAAAAACGGTTCTTTTCTTGTACAGATAAATATTGCTGCAATAACCAAAAATAAATAAATAATAATAAAAATAAAATTCCATTATAATTTTAAGGCATAACATCTTGTTGGACAAAGTGCCCATGTTAGATTCCCCTTATTCAAGGATATATTTAGTGACGTTTGTGAATACCTAAGGGCTAAGATCATGCCAGACTCTGCCAAGAATGGGGGAAAGAGAGTGTCCGTCCACTATATTAGGATATTGACATATTCTAAGTCTACATAGACGAGTAGCTTGACCTTTAGATTCATCACTGTTCACCGGAATCATTATGTTACCAACTTTCTTGAATTCTTGGACTAGGCAAGCGTCGGTTCTATATATATCATGTATGACATTGTGGAGACGTATTTTTTTTTTTTTTGGTAAACTCTTGACCTGATCATTGCGACATCATCTGTGAAGAGGCACCCATTCTTTCAAAGTTATGGAGTTATTTTGTTGAGTTACATGAAGGAAGTTGTCTCGTACTTTTCGATATTCTACAGTGTCACCCATGCCAATTTTGGGTACAAGCATCAACTTGTTTAAAGGCCGTACAATCCTTTCCTTTCCTTGAAGTATGACGTAATCATTTGATGTTCTAAATTGGGTCGAGACATTTTGCCATACCATTTAATACGTTTGAGTCCACTAATTAACATGTGATTTGCAATTACTAAGACGAGAAAGAAAAGAAAGAGCATTCAAATTGGTTTCATTTATTCTATCTAGTCCTTCTCGCCCAAAGTTGGTGGATTGTGCCCTATAACTTGAACTGTCAATACTATTTTCTTTAGAGTAATGTTGTTTAGCATCACTAATGTTTTAAATACTGATCTATGTGATACCTAAGTGGCATTGAATGACAAGCATAATTAAATGAATCGCATGATTTTACCTTTAATTGAATTTATTACATTATGACACTTAAATCGGTATTCTAACACTAGTAGTGTTAGATAGTGTTATTCTTTTCTTTAATAGTAATGTTATTTAGTATTGTTAGTATCAAGTATCAATTTAGATGGCAATTGTATGATATTAAATAATATATTCACTTAATGTTATATGATTTATTTAATTGAACATATTAAGTGTGATAATCTAAACTAGTGTTAGATAACATTATTCTTTCTTTAATAATCGTCAAGTTTTTTTCAATTATTAGCATGAGAAGTTGCATGGTAAAAGTTGGAAAGGCCTTTTTTAAGTCCAATTTTACTGCAATTTTAGATTTACATAAAAAATTACTTGAGTTTTCTAATCAACCACAAAATTGAATCTAAGCCAAATTTTGCAAGAGAGGCCGCTAACAAGCCTATTCAACCTCTCACAAGAACACGATAGCTGGCCGACCGCAATGGCTTAGGTTAATGTGATATTTCGAAGAATTTAATGAGTAATATGTCGAAATCTTGGATCAAACATAGCGCTCCGTGAACAAAGTTAGCATTGGCTCGCCATCCCTAACTTTATATGGCTTACTAGAATATTTGACTTTGGTAAAAACTTCATCACTTTTTGTGGGCCTTCATTCTACCACGTGGCTAAATTTGTATGAATATGCACAAAAGAGGCAATTAGCCAAACCGCGATTAATTAAGAGGAGAATGAACATAATTTAACTCATAAATTGATTCTTGTCATTTTATAATTCTTGAACCTTTGCTTTCCACATGGTATTCTTACATAGCACTTTCCATTCACATCAGTTCAAATTTAAAAACACCATTTCAGTCCTTCAAACCCCAGCTAGAATCATACTCTTATATGAAAACAACAAACTCCCCAGTTTCTTCATGTAGTGCTATTCCATTGTGCTCTCTAGAGAGAAAATCTCACTTGCAGAAACATATCATACGAGGCCTTCTTCAGCAACTGTATACTCGACATGAAGTGATAGTGTAATAGATCTAACGAGTCGAGGCACGTAAGATACTACAAGGAGTAGAAAGAACCCGGTAGCGGCATCTGGTATTTCAACACTAGATACAAGGCACGAGATTGTGAGTGCATCTCCCGAGACTGCAAGGTATGTGGCTTTGGAACTGTACGAGAGATTGACAAGGCATGGATTGGAAGATGAAGCGGGACAAGTTTTGTCAGGGGGAAAGGAAAATGTGGAGGAAAATGGGGAGAGGGAAAATAGGAGCTTATAGGAATGGAATACTTGTGGAAGGATGGTTATGTTAGTTATCTCTGTGAATGGCAAGAATTCTTCCTCCTATTCCTAAGAAGGTGAACTCTAAATCTATGTTCCATTTCACTTTCACTGCTTTACAGCTGATCGAAGGAGTAATTTGCATTGCATGCAAATAGACCAGTGCATATCTTGTGCATACCAGTCCAACATTGCCTCCAACAAAAGTACAATACCCCGAAGTTAATCTCCTGTCAAGTACACTACTTGTATATGTCCTCAATTCTCACATAGAAGTCCTTTTCCCCGAGTCCCCTTTACGTAACTTAAAATTCTGTATCTAGTTATGTAGTTCTGGAAAGAGCAGCTCTCCTCTTTAAGAAAGTCCCCAAGAGGGTTGATCCATTATTTATGTTTCACCTTTCATTTTTCTCCATCAGAATAGCGGAATGGAAGCCATTACAAGAAAAATAGACTCCTTTTCGATTCTTTCTACCACATCGTTTCAAATGAAGTTTTACCATAACATTCCTCTAATTTGGAACCGGTATGGAATTGGTTCAATCATGGAATCATGAATAGGAAGATGGATTTCTTCCATTCCACTGGGATAGTGAGGCTAGCAATGTGAAAGGAAGTGCAAGAGGTCATGAAGGTCGGAAGCAAAACCTTGGTTGAGAGATTAGTTGAATGACCAAAGCAGAAGTCATAGTGATCACTGACCCGGATTTAATTTCCTAGCTTAACATCTTTTTCTTGATTTCACCCGTTAATCGGTCAATTCATTTAATCCATTTAATAGCAACTGTCGGGAAAAGACCCAAACTCTTTCACTCCAGGCCTTATTTAGTTTACCTGTCCTATCACAATATCAAAATGTCCATGATTTGACGAGTGAATGAATTGACTCATCATACTTATCGTAAATGCAATATCAAGACGAGTATGGGAGTGATAAATAAGTCTCCCAACTAAGCATTGATATTTATTTTTGTCAATCACCTCTTCCGAACTTGCTGGTTGGATTTTCAAATTTGATTCTACAGGAGTTTCTACTACCCTACACCCAAGCAAACGTGTTTCACCTAATAAGTCAGTGATGCATGTAACCTAAGAAATGCCAGTTTGATCTGGTTCCTGGTTCTAGTACTTAGAATCAAAATCTTGAAATGAACCAAACTTTTATCATATTTGGTACAATCATTTATTTATAGAACTTTAGTTTATATTTAATGCAAATTATCTTGTTATCATTATGGAAACCATTAGTTCAATTCTCTTCACAACCAGGGACGGACCAATTTACCCTTAATTTTTGACATTGAAAACAAAGTCCACATAATTTTAAGTCATAATTTTTAACCCAAACTCAATATTTATTATGTAATTTCATCTCGCTTCCACTGAACCATAATCCTGGGTAGGGCTAACGAAAACCGAATCAGGCCCTCGAGCATTTAGTAAGTGGAACCGTTGTGCTCGTTCATTCGATTTAATTTTATTCGGATCGATTTGATTGGATTCTCGAGTTTTGTACTATAATTACATTTGTTTAATATTTACAAAGTTACATTAATTTAACTAATGACAAGTTTAATCTTAACTCTTATAAAATAACGTAATCTAATCTTATGTTTCTTTTGCGTTTCTTTTTACTGATTTCTTCATAGGTTTGATTGTTAAAATCACTTGAAAAGGAAGATAAAAAGGAAGATAGCAAGCTCACAATGATTAAGAGAGTCGTTGTCGAGTTTCAATTTGATTTCGCCAAAACGGTATAAACGGAACTACAATAAAATAACAGATTTAGGTAAAACTTAGGTCAATTTGTTTAAGTTGAGTTTGGACTGAAAATTAAAAATAAGAAAATCATATTTTTGGGTTTTAGCTAAATTAACTAGTTAACAAATTTATTTAGAAAAAAAAATAAAATAATTTGGCTTATTTAAAATAAATAAATTTAAAAAATAATGAAGATTCAATTTTTCGATTCTTTATTTAGAATAGAGTACCAAACCAAACCCGTCAGTTCTTGATTCAAATATCATTTCGAGTATTTAACTTAAGAAGAATTGCTCGATTCGATTCAGTTTGGATCGGATCCAATTCGGCCCATTCACTTCCGGAGTTTTGTTCAATCCTAATCCTCAGTCTGTTCCTGTTTGCAAATCGCAACCAAACCAAACCCAACTTGATTGTTCCCACTCCTGGACTAAATTGCTTCTTTTTTTCTTTTTTTTTTTGGGGTACTACTCATTGGCAATCTAACCAGCTCCCCAAAATCCATGAAAAGAGCACACACATACAAGCAAATTCTGGTGTCCTGAAGTTGCTCGTACCATTAATCGTTGTAAATTGTCACACTCCCTCAACAGCATTTGTAAAAAGTTCCCTCTTTGCACACTTGTCTTCCAAATTTTCCAACGTTCATATGAAATGGTTCTTACAGGTTTGCGCTTCTGCCCCATATTAGCACTAATGAGGCTATATATATAGAAATGGAAGTAGCTCTTTTCAACACTTAAATTTCAATTATTAGTAGCTCGAGATTTTACACTTCTTACATTGTGTTCTATACTAGTTGTGTCGGATGATAAATCACCATCTCAAGCTTATCATAAATAAGTACAGAGGCTCAAAGATGAACGCATGAGCAAGAAAAAGGAGAATGTGAACCTTAAACAAGAAATTACTTGAAATCCCAACATCTTTGTTTATAAAAAGAGCCATCCTTACCCACATAATGTTACAATTTGATGGCGGACAGGGGCATGATGAACATAAACACAAGGTGGAAAAGAGAAACAAACAGACTTGCAAAAGACACATGATGTCAATATGGAAAACACTGGTTCGTCTCCTACCAAAGAGAGATCATAATCCAATGGAAGGACGCTGCTTTCTGGCATGCTCGGGAATCAACTTCACCAGGGTCTCTGCTGGCACACCCTTCAACTCTGAATACAAGATCATGCGAATTTTAACTAGGTATAATGTTAAACAGGAAAAAGAAAATGTCGGGCTAGTTGTATTCAAGAACTTCATACCAAGAGGCTTAAAATTGAAAAGTGGAGGAAGAAAACGTCCATTTGGCAGACGGGTATTTCGCTCACGTAGCTCATCAAAGAAGGGGTGGGTCAAAGCGTCCAACTGCATCAAAATAGAGTCAATTTCCAAAGTACGCCCAGAATAGATAACTCGCAGAGTATTGCAGAATCATGAAAGACCCTACAAGCCTCTATTAAAAACCAGCACCAACGAATTGAGAAATGTGAGTGAAAAAGCTTCAATTCTGGCTTTAATCCATTTTCAGTAATGAAAACAACCTAATATGAAAAATAATGAAACAACTAAGGCAAGGTAGACAAATTAAACCCTCCCCCAGCCAACAAAAAAAGCAAGAAAAAGAAAGAAGATATTCAAAAACTTACAGCTGAGCAACGTAAATTAGGAGAGTATTGTAGCAGTCTTGAAACAAGATCAACAGCTTCTGGAGGCATGCGTTTGTAGAATATCTGATGCAGAACAAAGACATAAATGATAGTGAAACTAAAATAAATAAATAAACAAGTTGAGAAAATGAGCATAAACACATTAGGTAACAAATACCTTGTGCCACGGATGAGCTTTAATTTGTGGGAATTTATACTCTGTATAGTTAGGATTCATGCATTTTATTTCCTCCCTGGTTGGAGTACCCAAAACCTGAAAGAGAGCCAAATTGTTATCGAGCCATAGGAAGCATATGAGGAACAATAGCAACTTCAAAAAAAAAGCATTCTTTTAATCGAAATTTACAATAACAACTTCCAATACTTGAACTAATTCAGACTCTATCCAGAAATGGCATTAAAGTAAGATTAATCATATAATCTTGTCACACTCTTTGAGATGTAAACGTCATTAAGACAAACCAACCCACTGCCTACAGGTCCCACAAAACCACCACCACCACCAGTCTGGAAAAACACACGCAAAGGAAACCAAAATCCCAAGAAAAATTACATGGTAAAAATCCAAATAACTAAGAGATACTGCAAAAGTGTGCACGTTCATTTAAAAGTGTCTGTGCATGCGTGCGTGTGTGAGAGAGAGAGAGAGAGAGAGAGAGAGAGAGAGAGAGAGAGAGAGAACCTTAATAATCTCAACAAGTTGGTCCACGCCACTCTCACCAGGAAACAAAGGCTGAAAAAACAAAGGCCAACTGTGCCATTTAAGAGAACTTTGCTTCCAGCAGTGCAAACTTGTGCAAAAAGAAATAAGCCAACTACCTGCCCAAGAAGAAGCTCAGCCAGCACACAGCCAGCAGACCAAATGTCAATAGCTGTAGTATACTCAGTCGCTCCAAAAATAAGCTCGGGTGCTCTATAATACCTAGAGCAGATGTAAGATATATTTGGCTCCCCCTTAACCTATCAAAAATCATGAAATTAAGTAATAAAGCATGCCAATTTCATAAAAGTCGTTCCATCTTTATGATAGCATCCTACATACCAAAACTTTGGCACTCCCAAAATCACATAATTTAATCTGGTGGGTATGTGGATTGACCTGCAAAAGGTCACAAGTATTAGCTTGAAAAAGTGATTTCTATGGGACAAGCAAGTTGAAAGGGACAACGAAAGGGAAAATCTGAAGGCAGATAAATACACTTGTGAAACATGTCAATCTTCCAAATCAAAGCACTCATAACATCGATATGTCTACCAACAAAAGATTTGATTTCTTATAACAGTGGTCGGTCTGCCAATAAAAGGGTTGATTTCCTAGGACATTTTGGAAAGGTAGCTCTATGTCAAATAAAATGACAAAAATTGATTGATAAAGCAGACCCCAAGTTTATTATGAATAAGGCTTAGCCTCTTCTTGTAGTGTGTGTGTCCAAAATGGCATGAATGAAGTGTATAGCCGTGACCCCAAGTTATACTTCTTTCTGAAAGGCGTTGGCTACTTAGTGCTTAGAATAACTGAATTTCCAATTAAAATCTCTGATTGGAATTTATAAAAACAATTCCGACCTTGCCAACCTAAGACCTCATATTCCAGTTTCCAGCAAGAAATAGAAAACGCTAATGATGCTCATTTTTGACAAGTAGAATTAATTTACATTACGTGTGTTTGATGAAAATTCAAACGTAAGAAGAAAGAAAAGGGGGTATGAAAGTACACTTGATTTATCTTTTCTACTGACCTAGAGCAACCAAAAGGAAGTTCTACAGCTTGATGACTTTTTTTTTTTTTTTTAATAATCGTGGGTGTCCAGGCCAGCTTACGCGTACCTCAACTAATCCTATAGGGCCATGAAGTTTATAGACGAGTACTCACCTCAGTGGTCTTGAGGGGACTAATTTTTTTATGTCAAACATAACTAATGTTCCTAATTTTCTTCAACTTCTATCCAAGAAGTACAGCATAGAATCAAAAGCAAAATAGCATGGAATGTACCAGTAAATTTTGAGGCTTGATATCCCGGTGACACACTCCAATAGCATGGTGGTTATAAGACAATGCTCTGAATATCTGCCAAATAGCAGTATAGTTAATAAATATTTGTACAAAACTCAGGTAGATTCCATCTGTTTATACATCAAGAAAACACAGGCAGAAAAGTAAAATGTCTGGTGTTCCCAAAATAAGCGATATATAAACATAAAACCAGCATTCAGCAAACAAAATATCAAAGTTAGCGCACATATAACATAATTGAAGTTGAATTTGTATACCAGAAATTCATCGTGCATAAAACCCATCAACATTAATATGTAAAAACTGCAAAGAAAATTCTAAGAGATTTGAAGTACAAGAATCAATCATATCAATGTAGAAAGCAAGTTCCATTAAACATAAACAAAATTCAGAATAGGGGGCTCCACTTAAGGCCAATTTAATCAAGACTTAAAATAGAAGTTTCCAACAGAAGAAAGAGGCTAGATTTGGCATCCACACCGAGTTATCAAGAATCTGAACGGTACACACACCATGCATTAAACCGAGCTGTGCATTAGAGGATAACAAATTACCTGGTAAGTATATAGCTTGACATATATCAGCGGTATCCTCTGGTTCAACTTATTATAGTGCTTGACAACACGATGAAGAGTTTCTGGGACATACTCGAGTACCAGATTAAGATATAGTTCATCCTTTTCAGTTGTAGAGAAGAAGCAGTGCTTCAAGGACACAACATTTGGGTGGTCAAGGAGATGCATGGTTTGCATCTCACGGTTTTTGTATTTCTTGTCTTGAAGAACCTTCTTTATGGCCACTGTTTCTCCTGTTTCTAAGCATTTCGCCTAAAAAATCAGTGAAAAACAGCAAAGAGTGATACTTATGATTGTCACCAAAGAGAATAAATGGGAGAAATTAAGCAGTACCAAGGAATTCCAGTCATAAACAAAGTAAGATTTTACCTGAAACACTACTCCAAATGATCCGTGCCCGACGACACGTTCAGCCATGTAACTAATGGTCTGGAAACAACAAAAGAAGATAAAACATGTAACTAATGGTCTGGAAACAACAAAAGAAGATAAAAAAACAAGGAAAAAATAAATGCAACTGTAAAACATTAAGGAAGATACAGTAGGATAGGAATTAGAAATAGGAAGGTCTCAAAGAATACACGTATATGACATTAAAATACCTCAACAAACCGATATATAACCCAAATATTTATGATAACACTCCTAAAAGAGGATTTTCATGAGTGGAAACTCTTCTTATTGGATTATCAAGATAGTTCCCTAAAATTAAACTTTTATCAATGGAGAAAAGTTGTCGAAAATCTTTAAAAGCATGTATAATAGTAATCATGAATCGTTTACTAGCATTGCCAAAATTAGGAAAATATAAGGTATTGTTTCCTGGATACAAAATGCACATAAACTTGTGCTAGAAATGATAACACATGCTATGGCACATCACCTGCTTTGGCTGGCCATTTCGACCACCAATTGTAGTCACAATTATGTGGCCTGCCTCAGTCCCATTACCATCCACAACTGTTGCTTCCATTTCCTATAAACGAAATCAGAACCCTCATAAAACAAGGCAAAACCATTCTCCTGACTGAGTAATTCTTATTAGGACAGCATCAGACAGAAAAATACAAGTATCTTTTACATCATGAACAAAATACCTTGTCATCCCGGATTGTCATGTCATTCATCTCTTCAGGCAACCTATCAACCCCCACAGCATGGCTGCTTGATTCCCTTAAGCCAGAAGTAGGCGCTATGCCCACCGAACCCATTTGATAAAGTCTTGTTGCTTGTATTACCTCAATAAGGCATTCACCTGCTAAAACCACACCATAATGTAAACTGCTCTGAACTACATCTGCATTTATACTAAAAAATTTCTATCCCGATACGTTACATCCCTCTTTAATTGAAATGCAACCGTTTTGACAAGTTATATAAAGTAAGTGACATTATTTCATGGAAACGCATTGACCAAATATGTCGAGGAGTCAAAGGTTACACAAATTTGATACGCAACGGCAAAATCAAAAACATAATTACATGAAACTCACAAGACCACTTTACTGGCACTTCTTAAACTAGGCGAAGGGTCAATACGACAATTACTCTGCCTTGGCAATAAAAGATTAAACAGATGGAAGAACAGCTATATGTATAAGCAAAATTATTTTCATTTTAATAAATAGAAAATTTACGACTTCAACTTTTTATTCAGAAGTCACATAAAGCAAGCCCGGCAAATCAAGCAAGCTGCATGACACAACAATAACAAAAAGACTCAAACATTACCTAATCTAAATTAAATTTGGAGATTGAAAAATGAGAAAAAAAAAAAATGAGAACAAAGCCTCTTTACTGTCAGCTAAATCCACAGGAGGCGTAGAAATATGATATCCACTCTTGGAAAAGTTATAACAAAGACAGATATTGGCGTTCAGTTGTGTACCTTTATCCCTACAGCCACATAAAAGTAACTCGTAACTAGTTCGACTATTGTGTTCCTTATAATATAAACTAAAATAATCAACAAAAAACTTTCAATCAGCATCAGATAATGCATTCAAAATTATGACAATATGAACCATAAAGTCAAAAGATGAAAAACAGATGGGCGTACAGATATTTATCTAGAAACATTACAAAACATAGAACAAAATGAAGACAGATTTAAGATCATAAGAATCCAAACAGAAAACTAAGGACATCAAGAAAGCTGACACAAGAAGGCCACTTTAAGCCATTGCTCAATACATTGAAAAGAGGCCTTGCCTCTCAAATTTTGTCAGATAAGATTAACAATCCACAATATAAACAACTTATAGATTCTGTATGTGGTATCAATTTATCTTGAATCTATTGTGACATATAAATAAAGCAATCCAATCTCTATATAATGGACTGCATAAGATAAGAAATAAAAATATACACCCAAAACTGAGGGTATTATCAATTTGGTATAAGTTAAGGGGCTTGCGACTCAAGTGGTGGGACATGTCTTGCATAGACTTAGAGGAACTTCCACTTACAAGAGTGATCGTATAGGGGTAGAAAATTTTAGAAGCGGGACAGGTGAACCAAAATTAATATGGTCAATTGTGATTGTGAAGGGCGTAGTTGCATTGGATTTTTCAGTAGAGCAATTAACTAAAAAAATAGCAAATAAATGATTCATGCAGCCGACTTCAAGTTTATTGAGAATAATGATTAGTTAGTTGGTGTCGTCGTTTTAATTCCTACAATATCATATAGAGAAAAGAGTGTTGATGCACCCAATTTTAAAATGGTTCCACCAAATACCAAGGCCTTCTACCTTCATGGGGGAAGGCATTAGTCACCGACTCACAAGGCATTTTTAAAGCATAAGCCTCAAAACAAATTAATAAAACAATTCAAAAGACAATGATCATGATAAAACACAAATTGAAAATTTCCAATAAAACTAATTAACAAAGTTAAAAATCATTCTTGCAAACAAGTATAAATAAATCAATAAAATTGCAAATAATTTTTTCTTAAATTTGCAATCACATAACATTACTAGAAGTAGAAATGACATAGAAGACTACCTTAGCATCACTATTTATAGGATCTTTAAGAGATTTATCAACATTTTTAATCCCCTATCATTTTCCTCACCACTGTCACTTTATTCTCATTCTATAACCATCCTCCACTTAAAATCTTTCCTTTCCCTGTTCTTTGGCAACATCAGATCAATTTGTATTATCTATAGTTTGTTGCCAATAAATACTTCTATGGCGAATTTTTATTTTATTGAGATAGATTTCTGAAAATTTTACAGCATCAAGTTAAATATGCTAAGTTTGCAATGTTAATAAGATAATAATCAGAGTCTTACTTATTGCAGCCCAATGATAAAGAGTTATCAAGTGTCCCGCCCATAAACTTTCAACATTTCATATCTTTATATGTTCCCATTAATATGGCTCAAGCATATTTTCCATGAACAACTATAGCTCCCTGACTCTGACTTATTTGCATGATGGATCATAGAACAGCTAAAGGTGTAAACCTTCTGTTGATATTGTAAACACAAAATAATTCTGAATAAAATAACATTAATTTCCAAACATGACAAAAGGAAATAACCTAGATTGTCTCAGGTAACAACACTATAAACTTCAAGAGCTGGTTAGGTGCAACTTCATTTACTAACCTAACTTGATCTAAAGGTACTGACTTGATCACTGACCCTCTGTGTTAGCGTCATCTTCTGGTACATGCAAATCAGCTGAAGTATAGGTGAAATTTATGGCATGAACTAGACAGCTAGGTAAGAGTTTTCGTATGTATAATGTTTAGTGATAATGTATGGTGTCAATTAAGTATATAAATTATGTTCAAGATTATACGGAAACTTATTTTCCATATGGGCCACCTTTTAGTTGCAATATGATACTGCGAGAGCCACACTGGCTGCAACACGATTGAGATTAATAGCTATCATCATTTAAGATACACTACGGCCAAGTTAGCTCACACGATTAAAATATGTATGTTGTGGAAGTTCTCTCAAATGATCTTTAAATCGGTGATTTCCGGACTCAGTCCAACGTACCTTTATCTACCAACAACTAATCCAATCGGCTCCAAACCACAACCGATCTAATTCAACTTGATTGCTATTCAATCTCACCCATGTGGCACAAGAAAAGATGATGATTTGTAGCCACAAAGGCTAGGAAAAGACACCACAAAGGTATACTATGAAGGAACCACCAATTGTACACGGTAAACAAGCGTTTTGGACATTTCTAGAGGCCAATTTTTGACACACAAAGGGTGCAGCCAGGATTCCACTTTTTTTCACACAAAACCTCACGAAACATCACAAAAAAGTGGCTAGGGTTATATATATATATACACACACACTCTAGGGTTAGGCTTTAAGTTGGACCTTTAAGAGGTTTAAACGGGTCAAGATTCAAACCATCCAAGATGGAATATAATTGGGGCCGGTGTAGTTCATGGACTTGGTTGTTGAACTTATTTCATTCATCAACCTATGCCTATGAAATAATATTAACCCACGTTAACATCATAATCCGGAATTTATTGGGTATCAAAAACCCAACAATGTAACTCTCAGGCTCCATCGTTTACGGGTGATAAGGACAACAATCAACAGGACGATAAACCAAAAATTATATAACACTCTGACAATAACATGAACTGCACGCTGAGAGTGGCAATAGCTTGTGTCCTTTCTAAATATAGAGATCTCCAATTTAATATTGTGAATTATATTTAAAGTGATAATTAAGGTAATTTCCCAACAAACACCGCTCTTTCTTGCCAGTAAGTGATTCAAACGTCTATACCACTCATTTTGGGTAGAACAAGAATATATATTGTCCAAAATAGTCCATAAATTTTTCATTTTGGTTTATAAGATTTTCAAACTTCGGTGCAAATTCGGTTTCACCTCGGTTCATTATTTGATTGTTTCCTTCACTACTTTGATTCAATTTTAGGTTTAAATATGTTATAAATGACATTGAAAAGATTTTTGAATCATCAATTAACAGAATTCGAGTCTTAGAGTATGTTCGGATTAATGTTTCTAGGTGTTTATAAACACTTTGATCAAAAAATACTTTTGAATAAACCACTTTTTATCCACACATTTCATAGGACCTACAAGTACTATTCTTTTTTCCACCACTCATTTAACCATGTAGAACACCTTGACAGACATGCCCTTAATTTAAAGCTCCTAAATTTCAATCTATTTGAATAATATTTTGCTATCTACATTGGTTCTAATTTGTCCTAATCCAGAACCTATTTTTGGTATTCTGTAAATAATGATGAAAGCTCTCATTTATGTCTCAACATCTTAAAATCAATTTCATGATTCATGGTCAAATAGTTGGCCAACTTTATGTCCAAATTTTGCATACTTGCCAACTTTTTGGTCCAAAATAAAATGAAACTATTCCATCAAATTTCTGAAACTAGATAACTGTTAAAAGTTCAAGCACAAACACAGTGAGTTTAGGTGGAGAAACTACCCTTAATTTGTAGTAAAATCTTGTAGATAGGGGTTCAAATGTTCAATCTTTTTGCAAAAGAGTTAAAAATAATATTAGGCATGTTATTTTAAGGTCTTATGAGACATCTCATTCATCTCTCACTCTCATGTGATTCATGTAGCAAATGAAAAGTCTACAAGGCCTCTACATATTGCTTCTTCTAGAGCTTCCTTATGTAAAGTGGGTTCATTTTTGTAGTTGCTTTAACATGTCAACTCACACAAGCATAGAATTGTTAACAAAATGTTCTTGTGAGTATTTTTTAATAGATGTGGTGCATTTCCTAGAATTAAGGTAGTTTACGTATAACGTATTTATCGTGTTTATATTTTATTTTTGAAATTTTACAAAAAATTTCTTGAGATTTAGCAACGTATTATCCATAAAATAATGTTTCTTGTGTCCTTTGACACCACCAGACTCTTAGGTACTCCAGTTCTTACATTGTTTTAGATTACATATGATTCTTTTGCACTTTTCCGTGTATTTTATGTAAAAATCAAGAAATTTCATAAAAAAATATGATTATTCCGTAAAATCGCCAAAATTTTAGAAAAGCGCAAGAAGTTATACTAATCATAATAATTATTTTGATTAAATAAAGGTGCATTGCAACAGTTACTATATTAACCAAAAATAAAATCTTTGTTTGGACCAAATTTGATCTTCATGACTTCAATTAGTTTAGTTAAATCCTGGACAAAACTTAGTTGGATTCCAAATTGAAAGTCAAATCTCTTGTATTCCAGATGGAAAGGGCTGTTAGGACAACATACAGGAGCATAACAACATCAATTTTCAGAAAGTGTCTAGTTCTATAGACACTAACAACGCTACACAGATTCTTCTCTTTCAGTCAACTTGCTTTTAGTTCAGCAATTTTTGAGCCATTATAAAATCAACTTAATTTTCAGTCGACGAAAAAATCTTGATCCTATGAATGACCTACCCGTCCCAGAATTAGCTTCAACAGCCCCATAATCATGTTTCTTTTAATCCAAGACATCAAAATTTTCATTCAACTTTGTGATTCCCATAAATAAATCATTTATTCTTATACCCTTAAATGACAGATACAGCAAAACCCTTTCAACTTGTGCAGCATTTATGAAATTGGACAGAAATTTTTTTTCTGCTTCAGAATTCCTAATACAGAAGCTTATTAATTTGGTAATTGTAAATTTATCGTACACGGTTCAACAGAACCAATGTACCAAATTAAATAGAAAAATCTCAATTCTATCATTAAACTTCCATTGTATCGCCAATTCCAAAAATAACATTACTAAGGATAATGAAAAATTGAAAACAAAAATCCATAAAGAGATGACATGTTTAAGGGAAATAAAGATTTACATTATACAGCCAACATAAAGAGGAAAAAACTAGACAATTTTAAATAATTATAAACTCACATATTTCCAAATATATGCGGTATCATAGACAAAATAAAAGGAAAACAATCTTCTCTTTCTAATCAAAATATTGAGTTCTAAAAACACAAAACAAGTAAAGGACACCAAATTTTATCCAAAAATCTACAGATCCACGTCAACAAAACTTCCCAAACACAGCCTTAATAAATCTAAACAATAAATGCAACGTTCCAATATCAAGAACAAAATCAAATTTCCAGATTAATTAGCAAAAAGAAAATAAAAGCAATACGAGCGAAAACGTACCGATGGAATCTGAAAATTCAGGAGGAGGTGGAGCAGACTCCGTTGATCATCGGTGACTAACTCTGACAATTAATTTGCATCTTATGACCATCACCCGAAAGAAGCAATGTAGACAAAGAGAGAAAGAGAGAGAGAGGTGATTTTATTTTTCTATTTATAATTTTAATTTTTTTGAGGTTTTTATTGGTTAATTATTTTTAGTGATGTGACATACAATAATGGGTGCTGTGCTGACGACGGTCAAACCTCAGGGCTCAGACCAATATATTTCTGTAATTTTTATTTTTCTTATCTTTTTGGTTTTTATTTTTATTTGTTGAATAATGTTAAATGTAGGTTCTCCTTGACACCTTCTCTAACATCTTTTCTGCGTGGAAGAAATCTGGACAGTAGTGTAATGATTGTGGAGGTTCGATTCCTGAGATATGAAATTAGACTCCTTGTAGAGACAGTGTACAGACAGCTCTTGTTTCCTGGCTTGTTGTGACACTTCCTGGGATTTTCCTCCCTTACAAAACTCTAGGAGTGAGATGGTGGGGGTCCTCAAAGTTGGGGTTCAACCTTTTTTTAAGAAATCTGGACAGTAATGTAATGATTGTGGTCAAAATCAATGGTGTAGATGTAATAACACGGTGAAGTGTAAAAATATATGAATAGTTGTATATATTTTAGAACTCGTACTATTTAACCTATGTTTGAGCAGTATTTTTTACGATTATTAGTAAAAATGATCTTTTTGAAAATGTATTCTTAAAAAATAGAAAAAAATTTGAATTTATTTAAAAAAATTATTTTATTGATGAACGATTATATGGTTAAAAATGAGTTTGAAAAAAATGAGGTTCAACCAGAATTTAAAGAAAGAATATATAAAGAAGCTTACAACACAAACAGAGATAATTAACAGAATTTAAAAAATCCTATCATGAATCCATGTCCAGGTAACCTTCCTGATATATAAAAGGTGAAAGGATTTTTTTTTTTTTTTTTTTTTTGGACGTTTTATTCTCTCCTTGTGGGCTTTCTCTATTTTCATTTATTTGGAAAATTATCTTTTATACTATTCGATATATCAAAACTGTCTTCATTGGGGTCAATGGTACGGGGTTGAGCCTATAAATGAGAGAGAAAATTTATTGCATACATTAGTGTTTGTTGCATACATCGTATTTTTGTTGGACGTTTTATTCTCTCCTTGTGGGCTTTCTCTATTTTCATTTATTTGGAAAATTATCTTTTATACTATTCGATATATCAAAACTGTCTTCATTGGGGTCAATGGTACGGGGTTGAGCCTATAAATGAGAGAGAAAATTTATTGCATACATTAGTGTTTGTTGCATACATCGTAAAAGTATTATTTCGCTAATAATTGTTGATATTTATATCTGATTAAGAAATTAGAATAGCAAAACTACTTCGAGTCATATTTTAGTCGATTGTCTCCTAATCGAACTTGAAGTTATTCATACTCACACCTTCTACTTTTTTTTTTTTTTTTTTTTTTTTTTTTATATCCAGGTATCCCAACTTTCACTAAACTAAATCCTGAACCCCCAAGACCCTTGCCCCTAGAACTTTGGAGGGGGTAAATCGCGGGTTATGCCTCAACTGAATCACAGGTTCCTCCCACCGTCTGTACACTCTTGCGCACAAGAGATCCTCCTCCAAAATGATTGTTCCATACCAAATAAATATGACCGCAGGTTCCCACCAAGATTCGAACCTCCACCCTGCCGCTGGAAGCAAGACAATGTTGATTGATCCACCAGTTGAGCTGTGCCCCGGAGGGCTCTCACACCTTCTACTTGATATCATGCAACATGGTTCTTTACTCTTGTTGTTTTGTTAATCGCTTTTCATTTAAAACAAAAAAATGTTGTATCCTTTACTTCGTTTTGTAATATCATGATAATTGGAGATATTGGTAGAAATTGAATTGATTTGAAATTTTCATTTTATAAAAATTACATATATGGTATTTCTTAGTAAAAATGGAGGATCGCATAAGATTTGGATCGAACTTCTCCTTATCATACATATTATTATAAGCAAACGATTATGTTAAAATATTGTGATAATTGCTAGTAAAAAATGTCATATTTCAACTAAATGACTCAATATTACTGCTTCAATTTCTTGGTCAAAAAGTTGAAACTATTTAAATGTTTTAGTACAGTTTAAGAAGATTATTTTTGTCGTCCAAACCTGAAGAATTATTGTATATTCTTCACTTGCATTTCCACTTGCTTCTATCATTTTAGTTCGACCAAACATAGGTTAAAGTGAAAGATCAATAAGAAATTTTGCAAATAATTATCGATTTATAATAGCTAAAGAATTTTTAATAGGGCTAAACATGATTCGATTCAATTTTGTACCCGAATTTTTGGGTATTTAATGATAAAACCGTTTGGATTCGGTTTCATTTGGTTGGGTTTGATTCTTGGATCCCATACAATAATTAATTTTTTTAATATTTATAATTCAATTAATGATATGTTCAATTTTAGCTATTACAAAATAACGTAGTACAATTTTATATATTTTTTGCACATTTCTTTGTTGAATTTCTTTATAGATTTGATTGTTAAGATATCACGTGAAGAGTAAAATAGCAAGCTCACAATAATAAAGAGAAGTTTAGTTGATCTTTCAATTCAATTTCTCTAGAACTGTAGAAACGACAATACGTAGAATAATAAATTTGGGTAAAACTTAGGTCAATTTGATTAATTTGGGGGGTTGAAAATTAGGAAAAAAAATCATATTTTGTGTTTTGGGAAAATTAATTAGTAAGCAAATTTATTTTAAAAAATAAAATAATTTGACTTATTTGAGATAAATAAAATCTAAGAAATTAGGAAGATTTGTTCTTATTCTGCTCTTCAATTCTTGATCTAGAATCGAGAATCAAATCGAACCACTTGGTTCTCGATTCGGATACCCGTTCGGGTATTTAACTTAAAAAGAACTGTTTGATTTAATTCAATTTAATTCAATTTGATTCGATATGATCTGATTCGATTTGAGAGTTTTGTCTAACTCTAAGTGCATAATAAAAGTATTTTGAAAACACAGGGCTATTTGTGTAATTCTTAGAAGAGAAAGGAGTTTCACATAAAATTCTGATTCCCATTTGGATCGTGCGAATATTCTATTTCTCCCATTGACAGTCAAAGCGCTTGAGATATGAGACACACGGTCACTGGCATGCAAATTTTAAGTACAAACATCATGAGAGCATGTTTGTGTAAGTTTAAAATAATAAATTACTTTTATATAATTTTTCAAAGCTCGTGACGTAGGCCTTAAATTCATTTCGAAGGTCGCTTAATTTTTGAAGCTCTTGACAATATCTTTCATTTTTGTTTTCGAGATCTTTAATTTCCAAAACTTCGAATGCAACACTTCAATTTCAATTTCAAAAATCATCTAATTTAAGAGAAATCATAAGAGTACGCATCCAACTTTTGATAGTTAGATTCTAAGAACAAATCAATTTTGCTATGCCAATGAAAGAGGAAAAACCATAGACGGACTTTTGGTTTGGGAATTTGGCCGTGTTGTTGTTTTGTTTAATAAAACTTTGATACTTTTTAACTGATAAAATTAATTTTAACCACATATTTTATAAGACTCACAACTTTTTTATTACAAATTTGATCCTTTTTTTTTTTTTTTTTAAATCAAAAGTTCTATCACAAATGCCCATAATCCGTTTCATTTTGATTTATCCTTTTTAATCTTAAATATATTTTTTTTCGTGTGGCTAACCTCCGTTTTTAATGCAACATAAAAGAATATATAGAGGTGATTTTGATGATGGGTCAACAATCAAATGAAATAACAAGGCACGTGTACAAAGTTGTTAACCATGGAGTTAAATTGTTTAAATGAGTGACAGGTGGTACGAAATTAAGTTCAATGATCATTTGAATTTTTAACCCTCTATTTTGATAAACTTAAATTCAATAAACGATCATAAGGACAACGCATCTAAAAGTTGGTCACACAACTTGGACAAGCACTAATTTAGAAATCTGAAATTGGCGATTTCCTTAAGTTTTTCTATTAGAAAGCACTGAGAATCAAGGCCTGAGCTATTGTTTATCAAAAATACAAATCTAGTATCATAGTTTATATTCATATTAAACAACGCGCCTCTTATTCAGCCTATCGACATAGAAATATTTGTGTCTATGAAACATGATTGTTTGAGAGACGGCAATGAAAAATAATTGAAGAATGAATATAAATTTGCTTTCTTGCTAAGGCTCTACTTTGGGATGAGAATTGAGGCACTCGTACTAGTGGATCTACTTTATTATCTGAAGTCTTCAGCACTTACGTGTGCACCCCTTAAAATCCATTTATTCCATGATCAAAACAAATTTCATGTCATCGTGCAAGATAAATAAAAATGATGAAAATAACATTATGTAGCACTTGGTTGCAACAAAATATTATTCAAAGAGATTTCCGGTCGATCTTGATAATAATAATTTTTGAGGCATAGCATAAGAATTGGTTTAAAATTAAAGGGTAAATTACAACTACCGTCCTCACTTTTTGACCTTTTTTCAATTGTCCACAGTATTTTTGCGATAAACACAACTACAAATTTAGACTAATTAGCGGGATTCGTTCATCTTATTTACGGTTCCGTCCAAATAAATAAGAAAAAAATTATTTAAAAATTAATATAATAAGAAAATAGGAGGAAAAATGTCTCCACCTTCAACTCGGCCAGGCGAACACCACCATCTACGGTCCAATACTACCGACAATATTATCGTCGTTAGCACAACTGAAATTGAAAATTATCCCTAAATTGGAATTACTTTGTCAAGAAATTAAGAAACCAACTCATAAACATAAATAACAATAAGGATCGGATCAAACCATAACAAAAACATAAACATAATTCAAGATTGCACACATTAATATGAGCGCCATTTTAAGCTCACCCAACACATGTAAATATATCGAAGTTAAAGAGCATATTTGCTAGGGAAGTATGTGCTATTTTATTTAGTATTTTTCTATAAATCGCTTCATATTCATTCCATTGAATTCAACAAAACTAGCTTGTTACGTTCAATCTTTTTTAAGTTTTACATATCAAATATGCTATAATATGTTGACCA